TAGTATTTAAAAACACAAAAGGGTATAAAGAATAGTACAATGAATGTGTACCTTCCACCCAGCTTAAAAAATAAAGCCTAGTCAGTACTTAGTTGAAATCCCAGTATAAACATTTTCCACTTATTTTTCTGCATGAAGGAAATGCAAGCATCCAGTCTCAGAACAAGATCCCCCCCATCACCTCATGGCAGGAGAGGACACCTCTTCACAGTCAGGGTTGTTGGTGTGACTTCTGGCCATAAGAAGTCTGCACAGCCCCCACCTCACCAAAGGGGACAATTTTAAGACTCTTCCATACTCCAGACCTCCCTTCAGAATGGATAGGTTTCTAGATATAAGGTGTCAAGGCCATGATGCTTCTTTAGACCAGCTTAAACCAAACAATAACAAAAAGCATCAAACTGTTGTGGAATGGCCTGGCTGGTGTGGCTCAGCAGTTGAGCATCAGCCTAGGACAGTGGTCGGCAAACTCATTAGTCAACAGAGCCAGATATCAACAGTACAACGATTGGAATTTCTTTTGAGAGCCAAATTTTTTAAACTTAAACTGTATAGGTAGGTACATTGTTATTAACGTAATTAGGGCACTCCTAAGGCTTAGGAAGAGCCACACTCAAGGGGCCAAAGAGCCGCATGTGGCTTGTGAGCCGCAGTTTGCCGACCATGGACCTAGGAACCAAGAGGTCACCAGTTTGATTCCTGATCAGGGCACATGCAGGAGGCAGCCAAATTGGTTATGTTTCTCGTTGATGTTTCTATCTATCCCTCTCCCTTCCTCTCTCTATAAAAAATCAATAAAAACATTTTTAAAAAATGTGGAAGGGCCGAGGCCGGTTTGGCTCAGTGGATAGAGCGTCGGCCTGCGGACTGAAAGGTCCCAGGTTCGATTCCGGTCAAGGGCATGTCCCTGGGTTGCGGGCACATCCCCAGCGGGAGATGTGCAGGAGGCAGCTGATTGATGTTTCTCTCTCATTGATGTTTCTAGCTCTCTATCTCTCTCCCTTCCTCTCACTATAAAAAATCAATAAAAACATTTTTAAAAAATGTGGAAGGGCCGAGGCCGGTTTGGCTCAGTGGATAGAGCGTCGGCCTGCGGACTGAAAGGTCCCAGGTTCGATTCCGGTCAAGGGCATGTCCCTGGGTTGCGGGCACATCCCCAGCGGGAGATGTGCAGGAGGCAGCTGATTGATGTTTCTCTCTCATTGATGTTTCTAGCTCTCTATCTCGCTCCCTTCCTCTCTGTAAAAAATTAATAAAATATATTAAAAAAAAAATGGGGAAGGAACAAGGGCTTTGGAATTAAGAAGTCTGAGCTTGACACACTGCTTTTTCCTATAGGCAAGTTACTTAATCACTCTGAGTTACTCTGGTACAATACTTCTCTTGTGACTTTAGCCTATAATTGCCATGGACGCTGCTTGTAGCTTTGCAAAATGGGTGTTTAAACTATGGCTCTATCTCAGTATCACTGAGCACATCACCTCTGTGTCCTGAACCCCAATTTCTCCATCTGTAAAGTTGGGTAGCCAAGTACAATTTAAACTCTGTATTGCTGGATCCAGTAAAGAATGAAATTCACCTGGCCTTATAAATGAGCCCAGCTGGGAGAATTCTTTATTATTACTATTATTATTATCATTATCATCATTATCATTATTGTTTGAAGTATTACATGTGTCTCCTTTTTCCCCAATTGATCCCGCCCCCGAGACACGCTCCCACCATCGCAGTGCCAAGACACGCTCCCACCATCGCAGTGCCAAGACACGCTCCCACCACCCCCGTGTCCTTGTCCATTGGTTATGCTAATATGCATGCATATAGGTCCTTTGGTTGATCTCTTAACCCTCCCTCCCCCTGCTGCCTTCTCTCTGAGGTTGGACTGTCTGTTCAGTGTTTCTTTGCCTCTAGATCTGTTTTTGTTCATCAGTTTATGTTGTTCATTATATCCCACATATGAGTGAGATACGTGATATTTATCTTTCTCCCACTGGCTTATTTCGCTTAGCTGCTAAGCCTTAGTACAATGCTCTCCAGGTCCATCCATGCTGTTGCAAATGGTAAAAGTTCCTTCTTTTTTACCGTAGCATAGTATTCCATCGTGTAGATGTACCACAGTTTTCTAATCCACTCATCTGCTGGTGGGCAATTAAGCTGTTTCCAAATCTTAGCTATTGTAAATTGTGCTGTTATGAACATAGGGGTGCATGGTAGAATTCTTATTGGCAAAGATTTCTGGTCTTCTTTTCATCCAGAAAATTCCAAAAGACCTCATGAAGTGCTCAAGTGAGGCGATGAGAAAAGGGAATTACTGTGACATCATCCCCTTAAGGATGAGAGACAAAACCTTGCTCTAACTGGTGTGTTTGCAATAGGTAAACCACTTTTAAGGAGAAGCGGGGTTAATGCTTCCCAAGTAATGGAAGGTGAGAGGGTCCGGGGTGAAGGCTGTGGCACTGCCTGAGCGACCCCTGCCAGGACCCCACAGTCAGAGAATGACTGGGCCTCCAGCCCTTCCCTGCAAGTGACCATGACTGTGTCGACAGGTGTAACACAGAGGCACAGCAAAGCCCACAGGATTCCGACCATGGCGATGGGGAGGTCCCGTCGACCTCGACCAGCACAGCTGGGAGTTCTTCTGTGCCAGGTAAGGCAGTCTGCT